ATTAAAATGATATTGTATAAGTTTTTTTAATAAGTTACATATATCGAGTAGCTGTATAGGTAATATCAGATATTGCTGTGTTATTGATAGTGGTATTTTAGAATAGCTAATAAATATTTAAATATTTGATAGAAAAACATATAATATGCCTAAAAATTATAAAATAATAATCCACAAAGCATGGTTGTGTTAGATTTAACATTTTTAAATCATTATTAAGAGTTTAAATCAGTTAATTAATAATTAAATAATGAAATCATTCAAGTTGCCTTATATTTTAACTGGAACATAGGAGATAAAACTTTTTGTTTAATAATTTTTTACATAAGCAACAATTAATATTTGATTTTGTATTTTCATTATAGAAGATGTATTATCTGATGAAAAAGGCGAATGTGTTATTTGCCTTGAAGAATTACAACCTGGAGATGTTATAGCTCGTTTACCTTGCCTCTGTATATACCACAAAAAGTAAGTTTTTTTGTTGAAATAAAAAGATTAAGAAATTTAAATTAGATACATTACATAAAGTTACTTTTTTGCTATGTTGTTCCTTGTCAATATAAATGATAATCAAAGGTAATAAAATATAATTTATATTTTTCAGTTGCATTGATAGATGGTTTCAAGTAAATCGTAGTTGTCCTGAACATCCTGGGGATTGATTTATAACCTTTAAACTTGGAAGAGCACAATGCAACTTGTTGACTTTGAAAACTCTCATAATGAGAATAAAGTGGGAGGAAAAAGAAAAAATTTGAAAAAAGCTAGTCAAGATGGCTGCTAGTCCACTGTGGTGGTTGGTGTATGCAATTGTTCGACTGAATGAAACATACTCAATTTGAATATGAAAGCAGACATTTAACTAAATCCTTGATTATACTACCTGTAAGCAGGGGACTTAAAAAAATCGCCATAAGATTCAACGACACAATGCTATTATCTATATGTATCTGTAATTAATCTATTACTGCTCTATAGCTTACTATCAATTGTACCATATTTATAAATTTTACTTAGTTTTATATTTTGGAGTCGAATTAGGGTTAAGCAGAATAATCTGTTATTAATTATTATATATTTCTTTGGAAAGGGGGATATAAAATGAATCTTAATTGAAAGACCTGAATAATAATCAGGCAAGTTCTATGTTACATAAGTTAATTATATTTTTTATGGTTTCATTATAAACCTAACATTTCATTTTTGTTGTTTGTTGGGAAATGTACACCAGAAAGGATATTTTTGATACTTTCATAAAAGGAAGAGTTGGATATATAAAAGTTTTAAGAAACGGACTTTTAGTAGTAATGATGTTGATGCTGTAATAACAGTAAAAGTTTAGATTTAAATTTCTTTATTAGAATTTCAACTTTGTGATAAATTTCATTTATGTTTATAGATAGTAGAAGTCCTACAATTATGAAATATAATTTACTATTAAAGTTACTTCATAATTAATATCTTTTTTATATGATAAGCATTAACATAACTCGTAGTAGTTTTTATAACAAAAATAAACATGGTCTGTCAATTTTCCAGTAATATACACATTGTATATATCTGGATTAGACTTGTATCATATAAGATAAAAAGTCT